TGTTTTAAAACCTCTTAACTACGAAGAATGTTTAAGGCTTTGTGAATGGTCAATGACAACAGCTGAAATATAAGAATGTGGAGTACAGTTGAAAGCTCCAAGAGGCTAGTAAGTAGACCTACAAAGGCAGGAAGAACAAAGTGGCACTTTTTGTCAAATTCCTCTGAAATGTATCTTGCATTGATTCTGTGCACATACACAGGCACATATAGACATACGTGTCACATTTCCCCTGGACCAATGAAAGTCCATCTTCTGATTTTACCATTTGAATAAAAATGTCTTTAAGTTCATCTAAACACAGTTGTTGCAGCTCCTAGTAGTCGTCAGCAGATGTTATGATAACGTTGCAGATAACTTAAAATGAGAGTTCACTTGCTGATTAGATTGATAAAAAGTAACTTCTTATAAACATGTTGCCTCACGTACTTATTCTGCTGCTGGATAAAAGCCTCCAACGCCTGAACAGGTTCACATCGGATAAAAATCATCTCAATTTAATTCTCCCCCGTCTCTGTTTCACTTGACACAAAGTTACCACAGCATCTCGACAGTGGAGATGAGTTGTATGTTTTTTTATTTTTGTGTTCTGCTCCTCGGCCAGTTGTCCCCGGGCCGTTGCTGTCTCTGCCCATGTCTCCCACCCCGAGATGTGCTGCTCATAGAGCTGAGGGAAGGAAGGGAAAGGGGGAAGAAGAGCCCAGCCAAGAGGCCCTGGGGCCGCAGCCCTCTCTGGACCCCCAACCCCAGGTCACTGAGCACCTCGGGTCAGCCGGTCCTGCTCAGCCTCCTTGTGGGGGAATCGCCGGGCTACCGGATTGAGGAGGAGGATGTAGGGAGGAGGAGGAGACAGCTCCCCCCGGTGTCTTGTGTAATCAACATTTAGAGAACAGCTGGAAGGAGGAGGAGGAGTGTGTGTTCGTGGTGCACATGTGTGTTTTCTCATGTTCTGATATATTTGATCTGTCGTATGTGTGTTTTTGTTGTGTGTTTGCACACGCAAATGGCTACTTCAGCATTAACGAGAGTAGATATGAGCTTATTTTGCGTGTGTCTGTGTGTCTGTGTGATCGGTGTGTATTCCCTGCCGGCCCTCAGTGCTCAGAGCGGGTTCAGTGTCGGGGTCTTTGCCTGCGAATAAAACTCCTCCTCTGGGTGCCAACATGCACGTCTTTGGGTCGAACTGTCAGAGTGAGGAATTTCAGATTTGGAGAAGAAGAAATGCAGAAGACCGACGGTGATATTTACAGTTTTAAAGTATCAAAGAGTAAGGGAGAATCACTTCAGTGAAAATTTATTAACCATATCATTATATATAAATATAATTCTAAAGTACTCCTTAAAATGTTTGGGAGTTTTTGCAATATTTGGTTTATTAATGTAAGAGCATAAGCATAATTTAAGTTTCACCTCTCAGAGGGACTCATTCTGCACACATTTCTCTTCTATATGTGGGTTTTATCCATATAAATGATGTATACTTTATACAGACTGTTTTCCAATGTATGCTTTAGAATTTGTAACTTTTAAACATTTCTGAATTCATCGTGCAGAATAAAAGTCGATGTCAGCTTGGTTTGTAAAATGGGCCGCAGTTATGTAAATTCAGTCAGTAATCCTGTATTGAGTCATAGGTGTCATTTACACTGGGGATGTAGGGAACATGTCCCCATCGCTTTTTGATATGGCTGATTTTGTCCCCATCACTTTTTTAAAGCATAATTTGTTCAAAAACTACATGAAATATAGCTTGCAGTTAAATAACAAATGTAAATGCCTTTAGGTTTATTTGCACATTAAGAAAACATGCAATGCAATTAAAATATAGAAGAAACAAATGTGGATTGTCCAAAAAAAGCAACATAAGCTGAAAAAACAAGCTGCTGATTCTAAAATGACCCAAAAACATGCCAGCCGCAATCAGTAACTTTAACAACTTCTTGACACAGTTTTCCGTTTTCTCCCTGTGAACATGACAAAAGAGGAGCGAAGACTAAATCATGCCTGCATGTGTGCTGACCCAGCAAGGATGATATTACATGAGAAAAGTTGATCTACAGGAGAAACAGATCTGAAAGCAGCACAGAATGCCTGAGAACTGTACTGCTTTCTATTTATATATTTTGAAATGTCACATGCTGCCTGGATTTTGTGTTTCCTTTTACACAAATAAAAACATTTCCACCATAAATTGGGGCTGAAACTTTCACCAGAATGTGGGAAACTGAGTGTTTAATGTTCAAAATTTCCTGGCGGAGTTCCCCCAGACACCCTGCTCAAATATCTTGGCATTGAGGAAATCTTTAAAACACCGTTTAAGGATCTTTTTATCTCGTTCTCGTGAACCTAATCTCACGTATCATGATGTCTCGCGAGCGAAGTGTCTCTATACACCCCTGATCTGAGCCCCTATGTCCCCACCACTTTTCAACACAAAGTGATGCTTTTGAGGTTGAGTTGGCCAAGGAAAACATACACAAATCTAACGTGAATTAATTTAAGGATAACTGGACCAAATGCAGCCAAACCAAACAGACCCAAACACAGAGAGAACCCTAACAGCAGCATGATGCATTAACATCAATAAGTAGCTGCTATCAAAAAGGAGATGCAATCCATGTAATTTTTCCATAATTAAGAGGCACCACCTGATGAGAGCTGAGAGCAAGTCCACGCAGATCCACTGAGTAATACCTCAGACATATTAAACAAACAGACCTGAGACCTGTGGCAGGAGAACTGGACAATACCAGACCTTATTAGAATTAATATAATAATTTGGACCAGGCCCAACTCTGGTCCTCAGCTGATTATTGAGTACTAGGAACTAACCTGTGTACCTACCTAATGTAAAGTGGTCAAGAACTGTAATCTGGGCTAATAAATGAAAAATATTGCAATCAAAGCAAAGTGTTTCAGTTGAGCACTGAGAGCTGACAGTACTCATTTTGTTTCCTTCCCTGAAATAAAACCAAAGATGGAGCCAGTTAACATTTTGCCATACGCATTGTTTGTTTTGGATCTATAAATACTGTAATCTCCTCGGGTACAGTGCTAATGCAACAGATAGCTCTGTGTCGCACAACATTTGAATCGACCATCTGACTAATTACAGCAGCGCCTGCGATCAAATCAGGCTCCTGAGAACCTGTGAAGACCCCGAACGTGGCCTTCCGGTCAGGAAGAGGAAGCAGCCTCATTGTTGCTGCCAGAAATAATAATTTCCATAATTTTCTATAATTTCCAGCATCCAAACAGAGCAAACCAAGTCAGGAAACAAAGCAGGGGTACACCTACTCCAGAAAACACGCACACACGGAGGCCTATGAGAGCCTCCCCACGGAAAGCGGCTGCCATCTAAAAACAGCCTCTGCAGCTGGCGGCCGTTGCGAGAGGCGTGCTTTCAGAGCTTGCACCCGCAGTCGCAGTTTACTCCCGCTAAATGTATGGAATCAGGCTCTCGCTAAAAACTACAATTACAGGTGATATACAGATTGAAATCATAGGGGCCGCTTTTTTTGTTGAGGAAAATTGTCCTAATGAGTGGTTTGGCGATTTGTGGGGTGGAAGGGAGGGAAGGGTTGGTGCTGGTGCTGGTGCTGGAGGAGACTGTGAAAGTCTTTTCTCTTCAAGTGTGTGTGTGTAACCTATATCTGTGTGTTGGGGAGGTGTTGGTGGGGATGGGGTGGGGGGTGGGGGGGCATAAACAGCTGCACCTGCTGCTGCGGCGCGTACTGCCACACTTAATGATATCGGATGATATCATTAGGCAAAGTGCTCATAAACAGATGTTGGAGGCGCTGCCTAAACAGTGTCAGCTGAGCCGGCTTGCATTTCTGCGAACATATTATTTATATAGGGCATTTAAGTTTGTTATGTTAATAACCCCTCTGTTAGCATGCAGGATGTGGCACAGGAAGAATTAAACAGCACTGCAGCAGAGAGTTAAACTGCACCTCAGAGCCTCAGTGAAACCTCTGAGGCTGATCAGAGGTGTAAATAGCTGACAGGAGCGGAGTTTAGATGAGACTGAACATAGCCAACTGAAGACCAACACAGCTGAGTCTAATCCAAGATCCACCAGAGATTTAGACCACAAAATGATTTTATGGTCTTAATTTTAAATTAAGTTAATAACAAATGATTCTATTTAGGAAACCTTAATTCGGACAGAGCCCCGGACAGCCTCGGCCTGTCGTAGGCCTGTGTGCCACGGCCGAGCCGGCCCAAGTTAACCCCTATAACTAAAAATTGCTTTCTACTAAAAGTGATGAAAGGTAAGAGGGGCAAGTAGATAACTGTAACCTAAACTAAGCTGTGGCTGGCTGGCCAGGATTCAGTGTTCATTTCAGCGTTCAGTCTCATGTTGCCTATGTCACATCACTGTTTGGGCTGACGCTGAAGAGAGCCTCCTGAGTGCAGTTCAGTTATGTTAATATGGGTTTTCTGAAAGTTACACATAGAACCTTTACAGTGCAAGGTGCAAGGAATTTTTGGGGAAAGTTTTTAAATTAAGAAGGGTATGATTTTAAAAGAACTTGACTATCATTAGTTATTGCTTTAATAATGATAATATTGAATAGTACAGTAGCACACTATTGTATAGCAAGTCTGATTAGAAAGTTGTCTTATAAGAACATATATCTCAGACAATCTCGTATATCTGTATCTGCATACAATTCAGAACCCTACATTTGCACTAGAGTTACTTTAAGAATGTAACACAATTACATGGAAATGATCTCAAATTTATGTTCAAGTTCAAATCTAAAAATCCTTTTACAAGAAAGTCCAAAAGTACCAGATGTTGAGACGGTTGGAAATTTAAAGACCTGAATGGTCAATAAATTGTCTGAACTAAGACTAAATCAGCTCAACTGCTGCAGGAGGTCAGAACCCTTCAAATAATATACCTGTACGTTAACAACCAGACAGTGACAGACAGTAAACTGAGGGAGACCAGGAAAGGGTCGAGAAACACCCAATACTATGCTACTTACTGAAACAACATCTGCACGGTGGAGCTTCACAGTGACCAGTAGGTTGGATATCTGGCAAAAGTGGATGAGACACAGCTGAAGACAGCATTGATGAACTTGAACTCTGAAAAAAGTCAAACAACCACATAAATACACCCAAGTACTGTATGTATTTTTAGTACAAATGGCCCCAGTGGAGATACTCCTGTACTATTTGTGACTTGCTCAAGAAAATTTAACCAACAACCTTTGAAATTAATCTTTTAACCCATGGGCATCAGGCACTGTGTGCGAGTTCATCCAGGAAATGAAATCCCTATCCCTAGCTGCGTTAGTGCCTTGAACTGGTGGATTCAAGCCCCTAACCCCGGCATGCATTACTCTGCAACTCTGGTACTTGCTGTAAAGAATATGTTAATGCCTTGTTTTATTCTTAACGCTCTACTGAAGACTCTGAATCTTAATATTGTTAGTGTCTGTATTATGTTTATTTTTAGTCAGAAGTAATAATTTACGATCTGTCATATCATTAACAGTTAACACCATTTCACTGCAGAGTTGACTTTGTACATGGGAATTACTTAAACTACTACGTATTTACCTGAAATATAGAAAACTTTGATCTACAAAACCTTTACCAGACTCGTCCGTTGTGACCTCATTTTCTTAGAAGCATGTCAAAAACTGAAAACTCTATCACCTGAACTTTTCTTGAAGCAATTGACTACAACAAAACACACAGAAACACAGACAGCAGGGAAACCTTAAGCTTAAAAAGCTGTCTGTATTTATGCTTTTTTGGTTTAACTCTCATCAGTCTGTCCCACAGGTTTCACCACCTACTGAAACAGATAGAGGTGAGCTTCGGGTGCTGTTTGCCTGTTTTCCTAACTCCACCTTTGAAGCAAATCTCAATCTGCTTTTAAGTTATTGATTTCTTCAAGAAACATATTTGTGGAAGTGTTAGGGAAATCTTTGAACAGACATAGCAGGTGAAAAGGCGTCACTTACCTTGATTATGTTTTTGGTTCACCCAAAATGCAAAATGCACCCATGGGAGGTGACTGAAGTAAATTCACCAAAACAGTAGCAATGAAACATGTCCACATGTAGATTCACACTTCTTTCAGACTTGTTTAATTAAAACCTGACTAACATGAGCCCAATGGTAATGCCTCACCACTTCCTCCATCTTCTTCTTCCTCTGTTCATTGTGAATTGCAATCCTCAACCGACATTTGAGGTGCACTACTGCCACCCTCTGCTTTGGAGTGTGGACCAAAGACTAAATTCCTACCCATTGATCCTGTAAGTGCCAGATCCGTACCACCAGCAAGAGCCTTTCTTCACAAGCGCAAAATCTGTTTGGTCAGTTAAAGAAGGTTACCGCAAATCTGCCTATTCAAATGATCGTTGGCCTTTCTGTGTGGAGTTTGCATGTTCTCCCCGTGTCCAAAGACATGCAGTCTAGGTTGATTGGTGTCTCCCAAATTGTCCTTAGGCGTGAATGTGAGTGTGGGTGGTTGTCTGTTTATGTGTGGCCCTGCGATGGACTGGCGACCTGTCCAGGGTGTACCCCGCCTTTCGCCCAATGTAAGCTGGGATTGGCTCCAGCCCCCAGCGACCCTGTACGCAGGATAAGCGGTTGATGATGGATGGATGGAGATTTCACTGTTCACTATGATGTAATATGACTATACTGTGAGCAACATCGGCCGTTAGGGTTAGCCGGTCAACATGCATACAATCACTGACTTACAGGTTTAGGCACACATCCTGATGGTTAGGGTTAGGATAAGATGCTTTGGGAAGCTGTCAACTCATTTTATACTAACGTAGCTAGCTAGCTACATAGTTAGCTACTAGTACTTCCGGTCTAGACAGGGCGTCTCATTCAGACAAACCCAGAGGCATCTCATACGGACACTGAAAGGTACCTTTTGCATCAAATAACACTAATAATGTGTAAGTATTTGATGCCCTGAGATTAAAACAGACAACAACACACGAATAATTATGAACAGGCACGTTTGCGGTAACCTTCTTTGACAGACAGGACCCCTTTTGCGCATGTGAAGAACGGCTCTTGCTGGCGGTACGGATATGGCACTGACAGATCCTCTCTGGCAAATTAACCTGAAATTTCAGTTCAATACTTCCTAAACTGCTTCATACTAAAAGCCAAGATCATTTGTCTTTGCTGTAAGGCTTTTAATATGAAGGATCTACAGGAAGAGCTCAGTTTGAACCAGGCATTATCACTCACTGGAAAATTAGTACTTTTTGGTTTTGATTAGATGATAAAAAGTATTTACTGCTTGAAAATATTGTGAAGCCTGAATAGAGTTTGTATTTCATCATGCTCTGGATGTATATTGTTGTTAGTTAGTTTGCTTAAATGAACAAATCTATGCCCTCCCTGTAATTGGTCAGGTTTTCTTCTCTCTCGCAACTCCAGAACAGATGTAAGTTCACATGATAAAAGTACAGTTTGGTGTAGCAATAAGATGAAATATACTACAACACATTCAGGCAGAAAGTAACAGAAAATAACTCAAGAGCCTCAGCCCACCTTGGAGGAGGAGAGCATCAAGCCTCACTTTTAAACAGCACTCATACACGTGTTAACAGATTTATGTAAAAGGTTAACGTCCTTGTGTTATTCTGCTCAGGCGCTGCCATTTTACCCCCCTCCTCCTCCTCCCAACCTCCCTGGCTGAAAAGAAGGGGGGAATAGGAGCCCATTTCCCTGCCACCATTATGCTCATTTGTCCTGTCAAGAGAATGACAGGCCGGTTGACTCTTCCCCAGATACAACCATTAGGTAACGCTCTGTCATCTGACAGCGAGGCATTCTGCCGCTCCCTAAAAACCCCCTAATTATTTCCTTCGCCAGAGACAGGCGGTGGCGGGTAGGTAATTTTTAACCTTTCACGTGCACCTGGGGAACCCTCCTCCAGGGAGCCAAGGTGCCTGTGTGGCATTCAGTCATCAAAACATGACCTTTTATGGCCGTTCGGAGAGCAGTTGGCACCGGGTGCCACGCGCCGGCTAATGCTAATGTTGATGACTAATTTATGCATCAGCCGGCCGCATCTGCAGCAAGTTTAGGGTAGCAACAATGTGTGATAGAGCGGTGAGAGGAAGGGAAGGAAAAGAGAGAAGGGGGGGCATCACCACAGAGCAAGCAGAGGTGAAAGGCATTTTGGGGGAAGGGGTGGGGCTTTTGAGACACCCGGTAGCCTGGCACGACAGGGAATTGAGGGGGCTAATTATGTTGCAGGGAATACATTCGGCGTGACCAGCGAGCCTTTTTAGAATTTGTCGAGCGCAATCTGACTAACGTGGCTGACCTTTACTTTTTTTAGCCCAAATTGCGGGTGACCAGAGAGCATGCAAGATGTGTGCATATTCTATGACCTAATTGCCTTTTCCTTGTGTGGTTAAACGCTGTGCAGCACCTTTTCTCCCCAAGAACGTGGGATGTCAAAAAATCACATGTGCATTTTAAGCTTACAGTAGATACAACAGCACATTTAAAGTATGTTTGGACTCACAGACATTACTGCTCCCCGTGGCAGAGGCGTTTTTAGCAAGCTTGGCTTGTTAAATGACGATAAAGAGCATTGCCTTTGTGAAAAGGTAACCCATTCTACCAAAGCTTTATAGATCAGTTATAAGCCATTATTATGAATAAAACTCATCAACAATCCCTTTTGTTTGTGTTTGTCCTCCAGCATGACACTTGCTTTGACTTTTTAGCTCTTTCAAGAAGGATTATTGTAAAAACCCATTATCAACAACTCTAACATTTAAAACTGCAGACTTGACAGTGTATTTGAAAGTAAGAATCCATTAATCCATCCAAGTATTTTTTAATTATTACCAACAATTATAGCTGCATTATAACCAAATGTTGAGGAATAATGGAATTGACCTCAACCTGGCAGCCTAAAACGTGTTCCTGCAAATGGAATTACAGTATTCAACATTTTCAACAACAACAAAAAAAAACACTTGTATGCTTTCTTGCTGAGAGTCAGACGAGACGATTGACACAAGTCTCATGTCAGTATGTTAAATTTGAGGCTACAGCTAGCATAAAGCTTGCTTACCTTAGAACAAAGACTGAAAACAGCGACAAACAGCATCCTTCTACAATAATGTTACATGTTAATGTACATGTTATGTTTCATTTGTCCATATAAAACTCTGCCTGGCCAAGAAATAATCCTGCACATAACCCCACATGAAACCACCAATAGAGCCAGGCTAGCTGTTTCCCTCTGTTTCCAGTCTTTGTGCTAAGCTAAGCTGAATAGCTGCTGGCTGTAGCTTCATATTTACTGTACAGACATGAAAATCAATCTTCTCATGTAACTGTGAACAGGTTTAGTTGCCAAAATGTCAAAGAATTCTTTTAATGGCTTTAAAACTTACTATGAAGCATCAGGAAATGATTTGTTTACCATTTATAAATCCATTAATAACTGCTTATTAACTCTAACGGGTGCCTTATTAAAAAAGTGTTAAAAAACAACCAGGAATAATCATGATTCAGTTGAGCTTTTTATTCTTCTGTCTGACATTACAGCATGTGTGCCTGTCATGATCATGTTTTCCCATTTTTTCCATGTCCGTAAAGTAGCAGAGAATATGGATGGGTGAGAAGGAGCGAACGCCTCCTGCACTGTCAGCCTGAGCGATGGGGAGGGGGGTGACAGAGCCACAGCCTCTGGCTTTACAGTTAGCTGACAGCAACTCTGTATATTTATAATCTTGACCAAATTCCTGCAAGTCCATAAATTGTCATTATCATGAAGTGTTTCATCGAACAGACAAATAGAGGTGTTGGGGTGAAGATGAGATGAATTTCACGCAGCAGAAGGAAAACGAGGAGAAAAGAGAATCAAGCTAATCGCATCAAAAGTAAGTGATGGTGCTATTCTGCTTGAAAAACATAATTTGTATGAATCAGGCCATGTGTGCATTTGCAAACATGTCAGGCCTCCTCTGCTCTCTGCTTTTGTATATTCATTGTCAGCCAGAGAAAGAGAGAAAGATGCTGATGAACTCTTTGTTTGGACAAATCAGGAAATTACTTTGCCTGGAACGCGTGATTTTTTATTTTTCTTCCCCCCTCTTTTTGCTGTTGTGTTTCTCGAGTTCTGGGAAAGGTCATGGCAAAGTGTTTCCCTCGGAGCAACGTAGCGCAATAAAACACAAGTAAACACAAAGCAAGACGGATTCAAGCCGCTGTGCAGTTGTGCAGCCATTAGTGATTTATACTCTGTTTCTAATCCCTTGCTCAGGCCGCCCTGCTGCTATTAAGCTTCAAAATTACATGTTCTATCAAGAACAGCCGCTCTCACCTGAGTATTGGATTACTGAAATAAAATATGAATAATTAATACTGAGAAATAGGTTCCTGGCAACAGGAATGGATGCAATTTAATAATGAGCATTATGTTTCTTGTTTTTTCTCTCTCCTTTTCTTCCTCTCCTCCTCCTCCGGTGTCGTTTGATCTTCTCGGTATCTCTACCAGGGGAGTCGGCATATCTTCTTCTTCTTCGTTGGTTCTTCCTTGGCTGGGTTGACTCCCCTGGCCACTGGGGCGAGAGACCTGTCTTCTTCCTGTGTTTGTCATTCTTCCACCTCTTCTTCTTCATCGTGTTTTTTCTTTAATAAGCTGCCGTTAAATAAATTAGAAAATACCCACCCAGGGGTGATCAGACGGCCACAAACCCTTGTCATCTGTCTCTCGGCACTGCCAGGCAAACGAGAGCAAGGGAGGGAAGGAGAAGAAGAGAGGAGGACAGCCAGAATTTCTTCTTCTTCATCTTTTTCTTCCCTGGCTTGGTATTCTGTCAGAGGTGAGAGGGAGGAAGAGCTAGAAGAACAGGCTCTTTTTCTCCCTGCCAGACAACCGAAGGCGATCCCCCATTTGCTGAAAAAAGGATTCCATACATTCATATTTATTTAATGTGGTGAGAGAATACATAAGGAGGAGAGGAAGGAAGGGAAGGAGAGAGACAGAAAAAAAACTTTGCTACATATGGAGTGCTTCTTACAACTAATCAGCAGACTGTTGGTGATTGGGGCCGCGGGCGCCAGGTTGGCTCAAACCAGAGTTAGCACAGTGCCCAGGTCTTTGCTGCAGGCTGCACAGGTTGG